GGCCTTCAGACTCCACGTTCCTCGAGACGCTGTTGAAGCTGCTGCTGGGGGAGACGTCGATCCTTCTTGTGTCGGCCGCACAGTCCTGTCGATCGCCAAAACACTGCCCTAAACCCCTCCAGTCGATCTACGCTCCAGATCTGGGTTGTGCGCTGGAACGTTCTCGAAAGGGAAGAACAAGATCACTTGCTTCCAACAGCCGAGAAATCCAGCCCCTCTCCCTTCCCCCCTCTCCCTCCTAAAACTAACGTTAAGGATATTTAAAACAAAGATATTACGAGTTTCTTCCATTAGAAATAGCTCGCACAAAATGTTGGATATGACAACACCAATATTCCATAAGCGGCTCTAATTCTTCTACACAATGAATGAAATGATCACCTCGATGCTTCGTACTTTCCTTTCCAAGTCTGATCGCTCGCGCTCTTCCGAATCAGCCTGACTGGAGCAAAGCTGCAGTTCATTCTTCTTCTTGGCCAATGATGGTTCCAGCTGTTTCAGCCTATCTCAATGTCACATTTATAGTGCGATAACCTGGGATTTAAAAGAAAAAAATTCCATGCTCTCTTATTCCCGGCCTATCTAGTAATGCCCTTCTACACCTTTACCAAAACAAGCCAAGGGTTTTAATTGCCTGCTAATCACCAGTACTAGTAAAAGGAGGAAGAATTCACAACAGCTGGGCTTTCTATTGATATATCTGACTATTCGTTCTAGTCTGGGAACAGGCACCAATTACTACTGCAGCCAAATTCGCCACCCATCGATGCTTAAGAGGCAGAAAAATTACAGAATTTATTGACAAAAATTTTGAATAAATTTATACCTCATCTGAGCGGTTTTAATTTTCGTTTCCAACGCGGTAAGTGAACTACGTTGAGCTGAAAACAAGTTTTTTTTTTTTGTAGTTTAACTCGTTGTTAAACGGAATTCTGATAAATTTGACGTGTTATATTGCATAAAGAATTGTAAACTTAAACTAAACTGCGAAGATCAGCTTTATTTCTAATTCCACTGTGGTTTACACAGTGTCAGTAAGGCCAGCCCTGCAACACGAAGCAGTGACCTTCATACATGAATATCAACACATATACACCACTGGCGCATGTCACGGAAACCCCGCGAAAAGCCGGCAAAGAAGCCATTACAAAAAAGTGACACTGCCTACCG